ATTCAAATCCCTGAAGAAAGGATCACTGGCTGCTGAATCAAAACATGTGAAATCAGTGGTGGATGTTGAAGCTTGGACTGATGCTGATAATGAAGAAAGCGGCTATGTAAGTAGTAGTGACTCAGACATGGATTCACCGCTTTTGCGGACGCATCTGAAACGCAAGAAAAGAGAGTTAATCGTTGACACTGAAGAAGAGAAAACCTCAAAGAAGAAAGCAAAGAAGCACAAGAAGTCACTTTCAAATTCAGATATGAAGTGCAAGCAACCAAGTGCTCCGCATGATGAACTGATACCGTCAAAGTTGTCTGACAGTATGGCTGTTGATAATGAATTGAAACAGACGAACAGGGGTAAAACAATAGGGAAAAAGTCCATCACTTCCATGCCAATAAAGCGCGTTCTTATGATCAAGCCAGAGAAATTGAAGAAAGGGAATCTGTGGTCAAGAGATTGTGTTCCTTTGCCTGATTCTTGGCTGCCTCAAGAAGATGCTGTATTGTGTGCCATGGTTCATGAATATGGGTCTAATTGGAGTTTTGTTAGTGAGACGCTGTATGGAATGACAGCTGGTGGGGCCTACAGAGGACGATATCGCCATCCCGCATATTGTTGTGAGAGATATAGAGAGCTTATCCAACGACATATTTTGTCTGCTTCTGACAGTGCAGTGAACGAGAAGAACCTCAACTCAGGTTCTGGGAAGGCTCTCCTTAAAGTCACTGAGGTAAGGTTGATTATACCCTAGGTTCTGTAATTAGATAGAGGATTGATTAGTGAAAATGAAATTAGAGAGTCAGATTAGCTAATCTTATGGTACATGAGAGTTGTGATGAATTAAGTAATTTCTGGAATTCGGTTGTAAATAGGTCCCGTTAATCAATTCAAGAAGATTATAGTGGAAAAATGGTACTTTCATTTTTTTTTTTGTTGTTTTTGGTCAACGTGCTGCTTTTCACTAATATCTCACATTTGGTGCAGGAAAATATGCGGGCACTTCTAAATGTTGCAGCTGAGCAGGCGGATACGGAGATGCTCCTCCAAAAACATTTTACTTGCTTGCTATCATCAATTTGGAGGACGTCAACCCGCACGGGGAATGACCAAATGCTCTCCTTGAATAGTCCCATTTTCAACAGACAGTTTATGGGCTCCGTGAATCACACTCAAGAGTTAGCTAGAAAACCGTTGCAGGGGATGAAGATCACCAGCTTAAGTGGTAAGTTGTTAGAATCTGCTCTCCAGGACTCGAGCTTGAGTCAGCCAAACGATACTGTTTCCCGATCTAGATTGCAAGAGGATCAACCTATCAAGAAAGTGGGATTAGACCTAACCTTGGAATTTCAAAGTGGCTATGATGATTCCCCGACTCAGTTTCCACCCATCATAAGTCTATCCATTGATGGGTCAGATTCATCAAATTATTTGAATGACCCTCCAGAGGAAGATCATCTAAAAGAATCTCTGGTTGCTGCAGAGAACCGTTACAGGTTTGGAACTCTGATAAATTTGATTATTCCTTTTGTATATCCATGCCAAAAGCTTTTGATAATTCTTAGAGCAGTAGTGTTCACTAAAATAGTGGTGGTCTTAATTGTAGGAATGCTGCAAATGCTTGTATTGAAGATTCATTTGGATGGGCTTCAAACACATTCCCAGCAAATGATATGAAGTCCAGAACAAGCACGAAAGCACAGTCCTTGGGGAAGCACAAGCTCTCCGCCTCCGACACACCCAAGTCTACAAAAAGCAAACAGCGCAAACACTCAGCAGCAGAGCAATCGGAAATGGGATGGGTAAGGCCTAATGACCCAAATCTCAAGTTTGATTTCACACCTGCTGATAG